GGATTTTATTATATTTTACTGATAAATAATAAGAATAGATAATGCCACAAGGCCAGACTCGTGGCCTAATAGGAGGACAGTAATAAATCATAGTAATAATGATTAATCATTACAATGCTAATAATAATGATAATAATAATAATAATAATAATGATAATAATAATAATAATAATAGATAAAAATAATAACATTGCGCGACACAGCATAGATTTGGCACTCTGGCAGCAAAGTGTAAATGTGTAGAAAGTAAATACACGAAGATATCAGTAATGATAACGATAATAACAATAAGGAAGTCTGAAATCGTAGCAGAAAACACGATCTCATATTCCAATAAATTATCACTGGGGGGGAGGGGTGGAGGCACCAGGAGCCCGACTTTGAAATATCGCGTAGCATTTTTTTTTTCTTTTTTTTTGCAGAGTGTTGCGCTCATTCTGATTCTCCTTTTAATATTGCACTGCCGAGGCTGACAATCATGTCAACAAGGAGGAGAAAGAGAGAAGAGAGGAGCCAAAAGGAAGCGGATGGAGGGAGGAAAGGAGGGCGAGAGGGAGCACGCAACGAACGACTCCGATCTTTTTTTTTTTCAATTTGGGAAAGACGTCGCTTTTCCCTCTCGTCGCTCAGGTAGCAGAATTATTAGCCTCTCCTGGATGAGCGAACTACAAACCTCAAGGCATAGCAGAGGTCGTCACGCCGAACCCCCTGTATGCCCCTTAGTGATGCACCGGGGGTTGCGGGGAGGGAGGGGGAGGGAGGAAGGGGTGGGCCGAAGAAGATGAGGTGTCTCCGTTTAGGGACTTGTGAATGCTTATGTATGGTTACTCTTGGTCATTTTGTATAAGGTTCTTTATTTACAGACACGTCGATAGCTAATCTCTTTATCTGTGATGTTTTGTCCTTCTTTTTTTCCTCTTCTTTAATCTGATTTTATAATCAAGGAAACATTGTATTCACCTTGCTCGCCACCACACTATGACAACTCATAAGGCGCGAGTATGCTTAACCAACTCATTTCCTTTCGACTGATACTCCCAGCATATCAACAATCCCTATGACACAGCAGCTAAGCCCTTTATCTAACTCTCAGGTTCCGATAAAGCAGATCAGCATCGGCCGCCGCACACCCGCTCGAGCGAGAACATTCGTCGAAATCGGATATCAGCGTCCCTCCTCCGGCCACGCCTCCCTCCCTATATCCTCCTCCTTACATGTTGCACCTAGGATCTGGGTCGGGATGGCTCCTCAGGACTCTGTTGATGGTGCGGAGGAGAGGGTGTGGTTCGCAGCCGCAGCGGTTGGTGAAGTCGTCGAGGTCGAGGGCCCAGATCATGCCGCCGCCCAGACCCATCTTCTTGACCCATTCAGACTGGAAGAGGGACACGGGGTGAGTGGGAGGGACTCGTTCGTATATGCTTGGGAAAAAAGCTTTATTGATTTTATAATTTCGTTATTGATACCTTATTTTATTACTGAATACTGGGGATTTTTATCGAGTGATGGGATGTAATGTAAGGCAGGGATTAAACGCAAGAGAGAAATTATTTGTAGCACACAAACAAAGAAGAGAAACAACGTGTTACCTTGTATCTGATCATAGCGATGTCATCGTATCCGAACCACTGATTTCCCTTGTAGGCATAAGGACCCATTCTGCCCTCGGGATCCTTGACTACGGTGAAGCCTTTGTTCAGGACGCGGTCGCAGATCTGTCACGAAGAAAAATATCGATGTCAAAATGTTGATATCAAAGTTTAGGGAAATTCACTCACCCGACCTTCATGATCTCAAATATTAATAGAATGTGATTATCATGATTTTACTTGCTTTGAAGATACTATCGAATAAACTAACACCCTTTCTATGACAAAGACATCAACAACAACCCACAAAAGACAACAGAAACCCACAAAATCCCCAAAATATATAAGTAAACACGAGAGTACACCAGACGCATACAGCGCCCCAGCACAAACTGACCCAAACGACCAGACCAATCCACTCTACCTCATAGTAAGCCAGGAAGCCGCCAGCCCTCGTGTACTCTCCTGCGGTGCCCCGTCCGTACGCCTTCTGGTTGAGTCCGTTGTCGGAAGCCGAGGCCAGGGAGAAGGACTGGCCGTACAGTGGCATGCCCATGATCAGCTTCTTGCGGTCGGCGCCCTTCTCCATCCAGTAGTGAATGGTGAAGTTCTGTTGCAATGGAGAGTTTGTAGTTGTTATCATTGGTGTTGCAATTATTGTCCTGCTTTTGCTGCTTAATCCTCTTCTTATTATCATTGTTATTATTATTACTACTACTATTATTGTTATTATTATTATCATTATTATTATTATTATTATTATTATTATTATTATTATTATTATTATCATTATCATTATTATTATTATTATTATTATTATTATTATTATTATCATTATTATTATTATTATTATTATTATTATTATTATTATAATCATTATCATTATCATTATTATCACTATAATTCTTATCTTTATCATCATTATTATTAACATTATTTTGAGGGAGTGTAGTATCACGCTATCCTTATTCCTGTTTCTCTTAGATTACCTTACGTTGACTGGTAAAAAATCGTTATTACGAACGTAAAAAGAGAAAAAAATCAGGAATCCATATCAGTTTTATTATACTAAAGGAGATAAGCTATAAGAAAAGGACAAGCAAAAGGAAAGAATCGAAAAGAGGAAAAGAAAAAGAAAGAAAGAGAGAAAGCAAAAAAATGCACACACACACACACACATATATATATATATATATATATATATATATATATATATATATATATATATATATATATATATATATATATATACATATATATACATATATATATACATATATATATATATATATATGTATATATATATATATATATATATATATATATATATATATATATATATATATATATATATATATATATATATATATATATATGTATATATATGTATATATATATGTATATATATATATATATATATATATATATATATATATATATATATATATATATATATATATATATACATATATATATATATATATATATATATATATATATATATATATATATATATATATTATATAGAGAGAGAGAGAGAGAGAGAGAGAGAGAGAGAGAGAGAGAGAGAGAGAGAGAGAGAGAGAGAGAGAGAGAGAGAGAGAGAGAGAGAGAGAAAGAGACGAAAGAAAAAATCAAGCCAGAACTTACAGAGTTGAAGTGTACATTCTCGTCATCAGGGTGAAGATACATGGGGGCGACGTGACCTGTCTTCTTGTCCCAGTGACCGTGATAATCGTAGGTCATGACGGCGATCCAGTCCAGGTAGCGGTTCAGAGCGGGGACGTCGTAGCCTAAAGGAGGAGTGGGCGTGTGTTATAGGTGTGGTGGTTGAAAGGTATTGCGATTGTTATCATTACTACGATCATCATTAATATTTTATTTTTATTACCATCATGATTATCGTCATCATCATCATTATTATTACTATTATTATCATTGTCATCATCGACATCGCCGTTATCATTATCAATGTTTCGTTGAAAATGTCGACGGATTCTTGTAAGAAACACGAAGGGTAATATCTGGGATGTAAATACTGATGTGTGAATCTCTTTACCCGTATGTGTGAGTTTTTATATTTGTGTTGATGCGTATCTAGAAAAGCGTATGTGTTTGTAGACGTGTTGGTTTTGTGTATCTTTTGTGTGCGCGTGCCCGATTACGTGTGCGTTTGTTAACTTGGGTCCACGTATACTGCATGCGCATTTTTTTTCATAACGACTTTTCCAATATTTATTAATAGTCTTACCAGCGTCGATGACCTTGTTGCTCGGAGAAACGGCGGCGGAGAGGAGCAGACCGTGAGGCTTGAAAGCGTAGTGGAGTTCCTTGATCCATTCGGCAAAAGCAGCTTTGTCAGAGGCAGGTCCCTTCTTGCAGTTCACCTACGAAGGGAATAGTGGGATTAAATGTGATGAAATAAGCATTCAGATTGGAGGTTTGATCAATGCCACTATACTTGATTGAAGGAAACTGAACTTTACATGGTACGGAATGCATTTAATGATGGTTATGGTGATGGCAATCCATGAAATATGACTTTGTGAAAACTTTCTTGTTACTGTTCAAGGCCTTCAATTACCTGCCAGCAGACGGGATATTCCCAATCCAGATCGAGACCGTCGAAGTTGTGTCTCTTGATGAACTCAATAACATGCTCGTTGAACTTCCTACGAGCTTCGGGATTGTTCACTAGGCGACTGTACTTGTCCCCGGCGGAGTCGTTCCAGCCACCGATAGCGATGGTGACCTTGATGCCTCTCGCCCTCAGTGCGGTTACCTTTTCGTAGAACTCTGCGGGGATAAGTGCCACATTTCAGTATGGCTCAAGATGCTGAACTTACTTCCAATGAACAATAGAAAAGTAAGATATATTCTGTGATATAGCTTAGACAATAGAAGTAGAACATGATACTACATGTAACATAACAGAATCTTTCAGCATGTGATTCTCCTATCTACTCATTACAAGTTTATTGAATACCAACATTAAGGCTGGGACAGAGCCAAATTATAACCAAACATCCAGAAACTAAATTGAATAATAACCTATAATAACAGATAAACTTCAAGCATGAATAAACTTTCTACATTTATAATGACCCATTTGTAACAAAAAAATACACCTGTAGGAACGTGTTAACCGTGGCCTATTCCATGAAATCACTTAGTACTTACTGTTATCATAATCAGCCCAAGTGTCGTGGGGTTTGATGAGGAGCCGAGTGCCGTCCAGAACAGCAAAACCGTATACGATATGAGTGCAGAGGTTGGGATCAATGTCCTCGGGTCTGTACTTGCCGGCGGTTTGTCGATACCAGGCCCAGTTGGTGAAGTAGCATACCACCTGTGTTGGTAATACGCATTTTAGTGTCTTCATTCATTAGTTATATATTTCTTTTCTATTCCTACTATTTATTGACGGCATCTATAAGATACTTTCCCCTTTCTATGGCATTACATATCCTAAGAAATAAACCATTACACATGTAGGCGTTTACACAAAATGCTTTTTTTTCTCACCTTGTATCCTGTGTCTGGGATGATCGTCTCAATGTGGGTAGGGGGTGTCGTGGGGATGGAAGCCGTGGTGGTGGAAGATGGCGGCCACCAGGGGTTGGACGTGGTCGTGGGCGTGGGCGTGGTGGGCTTATTGATGGGCTCGGACGGTGGAGGACCACTGGCACATCTTGCATTACTTGGCCAGTCGCAGCGGTCCTGTGCGAATGAGTAGGTTTATCATTGATGTCTTGTTGTTATTGTGATAATGTTGTTGTTGTTGCTATTGCTACTACCACTACTACTACTATTACAATCACTTCTACATTTATCTTAAAATTCAACTTGTGCAAGCGATTTTATTTTTTGATTGTGCCTGCGAGCGCCTCTATACAAAAAGCCGAAACGCCCCCGAGCCCTACCTTGCCGTTCCAGTGCAATCCGGCGAAGCACCTCCTCTCCTCAAACTTGCCGAAGACACACTCGTAGTACATGTTGCAGTTGGAGGGATGGGCGCGGCGCTCTCCGGTCTGGCACTCGCTCCCTCTGGTTGTAGTGGGGGTGACCGCGATGACCGGTTTGGGCGTCACAGGCGAGATGACGGTCGGATCACGCACGACTATTGTGCCTGAAGGGAGGGGGGGTGGGAGGGGACTTAGAGAGGAGCTTGAGTGGATGGAACTATCTCTCCGTCTGTCGAATGAATTATCTATCTAGCTGTCTGTCTGTTTGTCTGTCTGTTCCTCTGTGTAAATAAGGGTTTATCTATCTATTCATATCTATATAACCATATAACCATATATCTGTCTATCTATATAAAAAGACACATTATATCTGCAATGATCAATCAGCACAATAAATTTATGCAAAAGGCAATGAACGAATGCATGGAGAAAAGATAAATAAGTAATTGCATTAATAGATAACCATATAACCAAGAAGAATAAGGAAACGGTGATATGAAAATAAACTAAAAGAAAAACAATAATATGGAAACAAGAAAAGTTGTATGGAGATAAATAAAAAGAAGAGAAAAAAACCCTCCTCAACAAAGAAGAAGAAGAATAATGAGAAGGAGGAGGAGGAGGAGGAGGAGGAGGAGGAGGAGGAGGAGGAGGAGGAGGAGGAGGAGGAGGAGGAGGAGGAGGAGGAGGAGGAGGAGGGGGGATATGAAGAAAAAGAAGTAGAAGAAGAAAAAAAGAAAAAGAAAAAGAAAAGAAAATAATAATAATAATAATAATAATAATAATAATAATGGAAGATGACGAAGAAGAAGAAAAGGAAGAAACAAGAAGAAGAAACGAAAGAAGAGAATTTCGCAGCGCACCTGGTGAGACAACGCCCATGGTGGGTTGGGCGCCTCCGAGCAAGGGGCATTTCGGGTCCGGCACGGGGATGTTCCTCAGTACGCGGTTGATCGTCCTGAGGAGAGGGTGCGTCTCGCAGCCGCAGCGGTTCTTGAAGTCGTCGAGGTCGAGGGCCCAGATCATGCCGCCGCCCAGACCCATTTTCTTGATGTACTCGGACTGTTTGGAGGCGGAGAGACGGATTAGGGTTTCGTGGTCTTTGTATGGAAAGGGTGACATCGATGAGACCGATTGTCTGTTTTCCTTTTTTTCCATTTGGAACAATAAAAAGGAAAGGAAAATGTTTGTGAAATCATCGTACACACAGACTTACACATACATATAAATGAAAAGTTTACAAATGTGTTGGCCTATTCATGTACTCATACATACTGCATACACAGACAAACAAACACATACACACACACACACACACACACACACACACACACACACACACACACACACACACACACTCACTCACTCATTCACTCACACACACACACACACACACACACTCATTCACTCACTCACTCACTCACTCACTCACACACACACACACACACACACACACACACACACACACACACACACACACACACTCATTCACTCACTCATTCACTCACACACACACACACGCACACACACACACACACACACACACACACACACACACACACACACACACACACACACACACACACACACACATACACACATACACATACACATAAAGATAAACAGACAAATCTATACATTCCCACGCACAAATCAACCAACCTAAAAGAAGAAAAAAAGAAAGAGAGAGAGAGAGAGAGAGAGAGAGAGAGAGAGAGAGAGAGAGAGAGAGAGAGAGAGAGAGAGAGAGAGAGAGAGAGAGAGAGAGAGAGAGAGAGAGAGAGAGAGAGAGAGAGAGAGAGAGAGAGAACAGCACGCACCTTGTATCTGATGGTGTGAACGTCATCGAATCCGACCCACTGGTTCCCCTTGTAAGCGTACGGTCCCATGGTGCCTTCGCTGTCTCGCACGACCGTCCAGCCTCCGCTCCTGATCTTGTAGCAAATCTGGCAACGGGAGGATGGTTAGGGTTAGGGTTGTTCTCCGGGTTAGGGTGTGTTAGTGTTGTGTGTGTGTGTGTGTGTGTGTGTGTGTGTGTGTGTGTGTGTGTGTGTGTGTGTGTGTGTGTGTGTGTGTGTGTGTGTGTGTTTGATTGGGTGTGGGTGTGATATGTACGTGTCTGTAAGCATATTTTGCAATGCGTTGACGGCGAAATATAAACACGGTTCTGCCCCCTAGCATTACCATCCTTATGGCTATCTAACCTTATGGATTGATTTACGTCTACCATTGGGGAACCATTATGTCGCTTACCTCATAATAGGCCAAGAAGCCGCGGGCTCGAGTGTACTGTCCTGCTTCGCCGCCTCCGTAGGACTTCTGAAGGAGGCCGTTGTCCTGGCTGCTGGCGAGGGTGAAGGACTGGCCGTACATGGGCATTCCCAGGACCAGCTTCTTGCGGTCGGCGCCCTTCTCGATCCAGTAGTGAATGGTGAAGTTCTGCAAGAGATTGCGAATTTAAATGCTTGGGGACAGCGAATGATTCTGTATCTTCTCAAGAGTTTTGTTGTTATCGTTAAAAAAATACTTATTCAGTGACGTCATCTCATGTCGCACGTGTAATACTAATTGTTCAAGTAGCATGTATGATTTCTCTCGTAGTATTATGATAATGTAAAAAAAAAACTCACTGTGTTAAACGCAAGATTCTCGTCTGTGGAGTGAGCATACATGGGGGCGACGTGACCTGTCTTCTTGTCCCACTGACCGTGATAATCGTAGGTCATGACAGCGATCCAGTCCAGGTATTGGCTCAGAACCGGAACGTCGTAACCTGCAGGTGAAATAAGAATGTGTTAACAAAATGAAGATCAGAGGTTTCTATCACTGTTATCATCAACTGTATTATTAAAGTTATTGTTATCATCATTATCAATTATGTTACCAGTATCATTGTTATTATTCTAATAATAAACTATTATCATTAGCATTATGATAATGACGATAATAATGATAATAACAATCATGATCATAATCATTATTACTAGAATAAGTGTTATCAACATCATAATTCCCTAAACACAAGTTATATACGCCCTTCAAAAATGTTTGCAAATATACTTCAACATCGAAAAGAGTTCTTTACCGGCGTCGATGACCTTGTTGCTCGGAGACACGGCAGCAGAGAGCAGGAGCCCGTGAGGTTCGAAGGCCATCTTGAGCTCCCTCACCCAGGCGGAGAAGGCGTCCTTGTCGGAAGCGGGGCCTTTGTTGCAGTTCACCTGTGAGACGGCAGCGATTGCAATCAGTGTCGGTTTATATTGTGGTGGTAGGGAGACAGGTAATATTTCTTTTGTTCTTTTTTTCTATTTGTGTAAACTTTTTGTTTGTTTGTTTGGAAAATATTAGAGAGAACATTGTTTCATATTTTCTTCTTACGTAATCATTGATGCCGATTAATTATCATATAATAAAACTTTCTCAATTATCTCTCACCTCTTGCGAGAATCGACATTAGATTCCTTTCACCTGCAAGACGGACTAACACAAAACCAATATTTCACCCAAGAGCAAAACTGAGAACGCCATTTATTCACGCCCAAGCATAACTAACTGTTCACCCTTTTTCCTTTACCTGCCAGCAGACGGGGTACTCCCAGTCGAGATCCAGACCATCGAAGTTATTCTGCTGAATGAACTGAATAACGTGTTCAGTGAACTTAGCCCGAGCAGCTGGGTTGTTCACAAGACGACTGTACTTATTGCCTGCAGAGTCGTTCCAGCCTCCGATAGCCACTAGGACCTTGACACCCTGGGCTCTGAGAGCTGTCACGCGCTCGTAGAACTCTGAAAAGGGGCGTCGAGGATGAGTACAACAGGGGAAGGTTCTTTCCATGTGTCGCTTTCAGATTTCGTGTTCGGATTTGTCTTTTTTTTAAACATCTATCAACTGGGATGTATCATGGACTGGATTATTAGATAAATAGACACAATTACTAACTGGAATGGTTTATAAAATGAACAAATAGAAGAATATATAAATAATCAATTATAGCACATCTTAAAATAAATAAGTGAAGATATTACATAAATAAATAAACGGAGAGATAAGGAACTATTAGACATCTTAAAATCCATAATGAAACAGACAAATAAGTAACGGTAAAATATCTAAAATACACAGACAAACTTAGCATGTACTCACTATTATCAAAATCGGCCCATGTGTCGTGGGGTTTGATCAGGAGGTTGTTGCCGTTGAGAACCGCGAAGCCGTAGACGATGTGGGTGCAAAGGGAGGCGTCGATGTGGTCCGGAGTGTACTTTCCTTCCCCAGGTCGGTACCAGGCCCAGTTGGTGAAGTAGCAGACCACCTTGTAGTCTGAGCCTGTGGTTTTAAGGCGAGATTGTTTTATAAGTTTCTGGATAATGAGACTTTTGTGATTTTTTTTTTTTTTTTTTACAGCGTACTCTTTTGGGGAGGGAAGAGGATGTGATGTGATGTTGTTA